CGCCTGACAAGAACAACCCTGCATAAGTTTTTAACGCGCATGACCTAGCTAGGCTTATGCAATATTACTAAATATATTGGACAAGATAAGCATTACAACAATCCGTTGTAGTCTAGTTGGTCAGGATACTCGGCTCTCACCCGAGAGACCCGGGTTCAAGTCCCGGCAACGGAATTCTTTTTGGTTTTTCAACGCCAAAGTTTTTTTACCTTAGACACTACCAAAATTACCACACCATAATTCCCAACCCAGCATCCAACAACAGAAAAATTAATTAACTAGAAGGGTAAGTTGAGGAACCCAACTGGAGAAACAGTAAATGGTGCCCTGTGTGAGATTGTGCAGTATGAACGATGTTGAATAAACTCCACTACTTGCAGAGTTTCCCAACCGATCAACGATGATCCCACCGCCGTACAGAGGCTCATCCGGCTGCAATTTACACTGCCAAAACAAACAAATTGGTCTCATCTGGGTGAAACAAAGAGAAAAACTTCCAATATATTTTGTTCACATTTAGTTTTTACCTCAGTGTAAGCAGTAGAATCATAAAGTGGGCCCTCTGAAATGTGTGAAAACAGTAAAAAGGAAGGATTAGTAACGTAAATTTAGACATGTCTGCATTGTAGAAAAAAAAAACCAGAAGAAATGAGAGGAGAAAGGGGGAAGAAGAGAGAACCAAATGAAACAACAAAGGAGGAGGAGCCCATGAGGAGAAACAAGAACAATAGGAAGCTTGAAGTAATATTTGTGCCTTCCATTTTTTGCTCGGAGGTCGGGAGGCTTGGAGCTGTGTGATGCTCTACTACTTAACATCTGAGAATGGTTTTTATAACGACACTGCTACACTCCTTTCCCAGCTTTTCTTGCTAATTACAGTTTGACGTTTATATGAAAAATAACTCACCAAAACAAAAAAGTTCATTTAAACACCAATTAAATTGTAATTAGTAGGAATGCAACAATGTCTACTTCCCAAAGAAGCAGCCAAATATATAAAATGCAATATATGAAACTTGAGGTTATGGGTTATAAGTTATATGAAAGAAAGTGTATATATTGGACCATTACCTAAGAAATAGACCCAATATAATGGAAGGGGAGGAGGTAGAGATCACAAGGGTTACAGTGGAAGCAGGGATACCGAGCGGTCCGTGGCCTGGCCACATGTTTGTGTGAGCGTGGAGCTTCATGTCATGCCCATTAATTCATGGACACATCACACTCCAACCGTGAATTCATTCTTTTTTTGTGTGGGGCTAAGAACATGGTTTTGTTGCCGTAACATTGACACGTAATGTTAGTGACCGATTCACGAGTTTTTCGGTATAAATACATTAGTGTCCTTAAGGTATTTTTATTTCAAGCATCTCATTTGCATCCTCGTCATGCTGAAGAAGTAATTTTATACAGTAATTCGTTTGTAGGTTTTCTAGTGCGTAATGTTATCAATTTACTCAAGATATATTATGTTTTCATGTATGAATGTAACAAATATATTATGTTTTCATGTATTAATGTAACAACCTAAAATATAAACTCATCATCCAATCCTTATTACAACATGGAGATGAGTAATATCATATCACGTTACAGGTGACACTAAGTTTTTTTCCATGTTTAGTCTGTATAAGTTCATATTTAATATAACATTAATTATTGAGGGGATTAGACTTGGCAACCAACTGCGTAGTAATTGATTGGAATTGTGGAATTATTAGTAGCAAGTATGTACTTAGTTAAGAAAAAAAAAAAAAATTAAAGCTTTATGTCATTGCTAGCAGCTTGGCCTATGTGAAAATTACAAAACAAGGGTTTGGCTAATTATTTGTGCCAATTAGGAATGGAATGAAAGGGTCCAAAATTCTTATATTAATATTAACCCAACACAGAGTAATCAAAAGGATTACCAATGTAATTCTTGAAGAACTGGTCTGGAATCTACCAGAAAATTGAGAGAAATCCTAAAGGGGTGTTATTTAATTGATAATCTTGAATGATTACAAATGTTACTTCCAAAGATGTAAATAATGATTACAAATGTTTGGAACAACTTAAAGGACTTCTAGGAGTTAAAACAACGTTAATCGGACGGCAAATGAAGAGTCCGATTCTTATTACATAACTTTAAACGCTATTTTGTAGGCTAAAATGACCCTGGATGATCAAAATCCATTGTACATCACGAAGAAGCCATGAGTTGGACTTGTGGCATCATTCCCTTTCCGAAAAGGTATAAGGGGCCCAAATTGGAGCTTTGACGCGAAATCTGTAAATTTCCAATGCGTCCTTTCGCCTTTTTACGGTCCATTTCTTCTTCAGTCAATTCTGCCATTTGTACTACATCAGAATATTGACCCATATGGGAAAATGTACACCAAATCCAAAATTGTTATATAGAAAGGAGGCACCCTCATTAAATCAGGTGAGATTCTCTCATACAACTAAGTTTTAGTTTTATTGGCATCGTCATTCAATAAACAATTGTTATATGTTTGAAAGTGCGTTATTCATCCCATAAAAGATTGTTACTGTCATGTGGTGAAATTGTGACATGAGAGAATCTCTCGATTAAAAGGAGGGATTTTGACTCTTGAGGGACCAAAAGAAAGAACTAGTGGCGATCAAAGTTCCATTTATGGCGGGATGCATGCTTTGGCTGCAAGTCTTGTAATATGTCTGTTTTTGTGTGTTTATGCAGAAAGCCTTCATGGGTTGATGGCTTTGTAGTGTCACGCGTGCGGAACATATATGAGGAAACCATGGACATAAATGCTATTTTACTCATGTTAAATAATTACATCTTTCTACTTGCTGTCTGACCAAGTCACTTAGGTGGTCCTCTTCGTATCGTGGGTGTGCTCTTCTGGAAGAAGAATGTATGTGAGTGTCTTTCCACATTTCAATTCTTATCACGTATAGAGTAGTTAAATTTAGTAATGTATGTTGTTGTTAACCAAAATAAAAAGGAACGAAGTTATCCGGAAAATGTAAAGCATTGAGTGATGAATAATTCTGGGGATGAGTCGCGGATTAAGTTGCTCTCTTTAAGACGTTTTGTGACTCTGCCCAAAGTGTGCAAACAATTCACAAACACCATGTCGTCCCATGATAAAACAGCCCAGAACCTTCTTTTGATAAGGTTCTTTCTTGCACAATGGAAGAACCTTCAAACTTGCACCCTTTCGATATGTTGCTATCAAAACTTAATTTAAAAAAATATGTATAAACTTATAGTATTCTGTATTCTTCAACATTGATACTCAGGACTTATATATATATATATATATATATGGGGACACTCTCTTGACCTTTAGATTTGGCTTTAATAAAATTCTATGGTTGAGATTGTGTGGCCTGTGATTTAATCTCAACCACAGAATTTCATTAAAGCCAAATCTAACGGTCAAGAGGGTGTCCCCAATTTTTTTTTTTTTTTAATAGGAATCCCTCTTGTTAAAGGGCCCCGTATATATATATATATGTATGTATGTATGTATGTATATATATGTATATGTATGTATGTATGTATGTATGTATAAAGTAAGAGAAATAGACGTTGAAGGATTAAGATATTAGGGGCTAGAAATCCTGAATAAACCAAAACGTAAAAATCAAAACGGATAGATTATCTATGGAGGTGGACGTGATCTTTTTTCTCTATACAGACAAGGCATCTCAAATTTGTTGAAGTAAGAAACTTCCTCACATCTCCTATATAATTAAGAATGGAAATTACTCCTAATTGACAACGTCTCCAATACATTTACGAATGGAAATTACTCCTAATGACAGTTATGTATATTTTATGTTTCTAATAAAAAAAAATCAAAAATAAATATTTATATATAATTTAAATAAAAACATAATTGCTCCAACATATGTTATAACAAATGTAATTAAAAATGACATGGGTTCAAATTTCACGTTTTGTTTCGTGGGTTTGGATAATTCGGCTAGATGTGTACCATAAGGAGTGGGCCAAGTGATTGTTGATCAAGTCACACAGTATGTAAATGATAGTTTGGTATAGAACATGATATTTATAAAAGTTGAAAATAAAATTAATGACAGCGTTAGTGGCAAGTCATCGTCTACTTTAACTAATTTCAATTGAGGGGAAAACCTTTTCAATTAATACTAAAAATTGTCATTTAGTATTACAGTCAAATAGTATTCCTCTTCACTTGTAAGTAGGAGATTTTAAGTTCGATTCTTACCAAGGACGAATTTGAACTATATTATTAAGATGAAAATAACATTTTTCGTTTGGTATTTAATGTAAATAAAATTAGAGTATTGGTCTTTAAATTTTGTTTTAATTGGATCTTTGGTTTATGGATAAATTTTTTTTTTTTATGAGTATGGGTTTCCTAAACATATCAAAATGTGGTGCAATGATTTTTTTGGATAACTCTGGTTTCGAAGTTCTTGGAGCTAAAGATCCTTTGATTTAAATTTAGTTAGAACTTTTGTCATTTTTGAACAAAAAATTTAAAAGAGTGGGCCGAAAGAATCATTACTCTAGACAATGCCATGGATCACTACTATCAAAGCTCCAATTCAAAGTTGAGCATTTTTATCATATACCAAAGCCCATTATTAACGGAAACGCCAAGTTCTCCTTGTGAGCAATGTGAATTTAAGACCAATGAATCCAATGTGATATCGAGGCCGAAGAAAATTAAACAAAGAATGTTTGGAAACACATAGAGAGAGATGCCAAAGGAGACTCTAAAAAATAGAACCCTTCATAGATTCTTTGCCACCTGATGTTTTTGGCACATATTTTATAATATTGACATGAAAATTAATGTTATAATGTTGAAACAAAAATTTCATAGAAAGTCCAATTTTAAAAGTCTCCTTAGCATTTCTCGTTCATAAAACCTACCTATTGGTAGGAAAGTAATTACACACACTAATCCGATTAAAAAAAAATTACAAAGTAAATCCAACAAGAACTACTCAATACAAATTTCGTAGTGGGAGAAATTAAGGAAGCCCATCAAACAATTTAACCACATAATTTTCGTGGCCATTTGTAACTTTCTTTTCATGCTTGATTCTAAGCCTAAATGGAGGATATCAGTGAGCGAAATTTAAGCCCATCAATCCTCATATTCTTGGAGAAATTTTTAGTTGTAACGGAAACACGGATGGTACATCACGTGTTTTTATACAAGTGGTGGAAAATTTTAATTTTTAAGTTATTAACCTTTTAACACACATAATCCACCATTTATATAAGACACGTGGTGTATTACCTCCTGTGACGGTTACACTGAAAAATCTCTTATATTCTTGGCCTCCCAAGTCCATCATTTTCTTTGACGAATGGGAATGGGAAGGAGATTCGAACTCGAGAACAGATACCAGTAGACTAAGAGTTAATTAGTCCCAGGTCGTACATTTGTTCACCCTATTGTGTGCCATTAACCACTCTCTTTGTTTTCTTGCCAGCTTGAATCTTGGTGTAGAGATTCTTGGTTCTAATAGACAGCAAAATGTCCAAACCAAACCCGATAACACAGGCAATGGCCATGATAACAAACACAAGCCGGTAGCAATGTGCGCCAACGCAGGTGTTGCCACCTCCTTCCGTGGTGGTAGCCTCCATGTCGTATAATAGTCCGGCAAGCAGGCCGGAGAAGAGGAAGGAGCCGAGTGGAAGGTTGAGGATTAGAATGTTGTAAATAAGTCCGTAGTATTTGAGACCAAATAATTCAGATGCAGTGGGTACTGTGATGGCAAGACGAACTCCGTAGCATATGCCAACGACGATTGAACCAATGTATAGCGAACCAGGCATGGCGATGGCCATGAGGATGTAGCCAACAGCCATTAGAATCTGAGAAGCAGCATTCCACAGAGGTCTTGGTGTTGCAGCTTTCCTGTCATTACAAATTCGGGACCAGAGAGTGTTAAATGTGGGTTGAATTTTTTAGGCCAAAGTAGTGCCACCAAGAAATTTAGTTAAAAAAAATTTTCAGACATTGAAAGCTTCTATATTTTCCAGGCATAGAGAATTATACAAACAATCCAGAGATTTAAAGACACTCTGAAAATTACATAAACTTGTACAAAAACACAACTAGAACTACAAATATATTTTATAGTAAACTAGAAAAAGAACCCTAATAACTATAATGAGAAAACACTTCACGTAAAAAAATAGAGAAGAAAAGGGTTAAAAAAAAATTTATAAAAAAAAATTTATAAAAAAAAAAAAACCGTCAGCTATATTGTCAATTGTCGTGTTATAATTGATTCTTAGTTTGAAAATTCCTATGGCGGTCATGTCTACTCCAAAGTAGGCATTTCCTCCTTCTACAGTATTGGTTTGACATGTTTTATTTTTTTCAAAAAGTGTAATGTTATTAAGGACTTATGTATGAAACTCTCGTAAATAAAAAGAATGAAGTTTTAACGAAACATTTCCAGTACTGTTCATTTTTAATGAAAAATCACATTTTTACCTTTTCCTAGTACTATTCACTACACCTTTATTTGTCATTTTTTATTAAAACTATAATTTTTTTGGACTTTTCATTAGTTTTCCTTAAAAAGAATGACTTAGATACTGTTATTTATGTATGCAATCTGAAAGAGAAAAATAAGAGCGACTTTGTGGGAAAAAACACAAAAAAGATGCTTAAAATTTGGACCAAACTTGCGTTGCTTATTTCTAAGCAGCTTGCCGTAAAATGTTGCATCCAGCAGATGGACATTGAGCAAATAACTTAAATGTGAAGGAAACGGAAGACATTATAAATCTAGGTCTTCACCCAAAGGCATGTTACCTTCCATATTTCCCGAAATCTATGTTTCTTTAATATTTGAAAAGCACCTCATATGTTGATTGTATTAAGTACAATATTCACATAAATTATATCTAACTGTCAAATATATATATACGTATTATAGTCAGTCTCCAAAATTAGAAACAAAAAAAAAAATCTCAAATAAAGCACATTTTTGCTCTTAGTGCGACTTAGAATGGCTAGTTTGGGATTGTGGTACTTTTAAGAAAAACAACTTATTTAAAAATCTAGAACATCAAATGTGTTTGGTTAAAAAAAAAAAAAAAAATCTGTTAATGACGGTAGAAAAGCAAAAGCAGTCCACCATGCTTCTAAATGAAATTTTCAAATAGCAAGTAAACTCCCACATATTTTATAAAATTATAATCATTGCCCCTACATATTCTCTTTGACAATTATTATATCACATTAAACATCACATAAATTTATATAAAAGTTTACCAAATACTTGGACACTAATTTTTTTTGTTAAAAGTACTTTTACAAAGAAAAGTTTACCAGACATTTAATAATTTTATTTTACAGCTCTTTATTCTTACAACACAGTAGAAACCATTTTTTTAAAAAGCACATCAATATCTAACTAATCCGAAATTTCGGAAACTGGCATGGAACCGCTCGAAACAAATTATACTAGAAAAAGAGGAGTGAGTGGGGAGGATGGAGAAGGAGACAAATATTTCCAACAATTATTTACCTAAAAAAATACACGAAACAATTGTTTAAGGGAAAGTCAAAAGAACCCCAAAAGCAAATAAAAAATAAAAAATCAATCTCTCGGTTTCGAAGCTAACATTTGTATTATTAAAGTATTGTCATAATATAAATCGTCAAATATTTTATTTAAAAAAAATCTGATACTTTTATACAAATATAGAAATAAGATAGTACGATTTACATATTTATTTTTACTTTATTGTTAATTTTGTTGTCATTGATTTTCTTGAATCTGAAAATTTGAGATATGCAACAAGTAAAAATGAATGTGTGGATAACTCTACTCTACAAATACACCTCAAAGATCCTACTTATAATTTCTCAACAAAAGGCCTATCAATAGCAATATAGCATACTACAAACACTTCTACAAAATGGATAACATTTATGGATCTTCTTATTATGTCTCTCCAATTTTAATAAATAAAAAACTAATGTTCACACAAAATATAATACTCCACTTTTTCTTTGAGAATACAAGACATTATAAACGTCAAACGACTTTTTAGAGCGCCAAAAGTAACGTGACTATTTACCTACTCAAAAAAAAAAACCCATAAATTAAAATGAAATGTAAAATTACCCTATGGAATTAAAAAATTATGGTCTTACTTGACAATTTCAAAAATAATTTTAAAAAGAGTAATACTTAGAGATGCAAGGTTTATTTGAGTTCGAGTTTACTCGTATTGGGTTCGGGTTCGCCTAACTTTATCAAATTCAATCTTAGAATGTTATTTTATAAAATAAATCTCAAATTTTAAACCAAATAATACAACACTATTTAAAATTCAACTTTACACATCAACATCCATACAAAAAATAAATGAAATAGCGTGGGATAAATTTCTAAAATTTCAACCATGAAAAGTTGAAATTAAATATTGATAAAAGGAAAAGTTGAAATTAAATATTGATAAAAAGAAAAGTTGAAATTAAATGACAAGACTAGACTATCACTTAACAAAAAGAAATGTAAAATCAACATTATCATTTATTGTTCAAAAGAAAGCCAAATAACAAACTTCATTATACCCTCCCAAGCTTGTACCTAGCTTATATAATATAAAATGAGATGTGTAATATATGCAGGAACAGCATGAACAACTCGGGCTGACTTTGGACTGACATGAACAAGCAAAAGCACCAACCCAACTTAACCTGATAAATAATCGAGTTGATGATTTGGATGGGTTTTTACTTAACTCAAACCCGCTCGATCGATTTTGAAATCAAGCTAGACAGAGACGAATTTGAGTTGACCCAACTCAAGTTGCACTCTAGTAATACTACATTTGATCACATATAGTCCTATTTCTAATAGCATTTTTTTATAAAGTTAGGTCAAAAAGCAAAGCAAAACAAATAAGAATAAATCATAAATTTTATAATTCTATTGGAGATTAATTAATTCGATGAAATATATGTAAAGAGGAAGAGTGGGTGTTAGGTAAACCAACCTGATGAAGTTCTCCGAAACCATACCCGAACCGATCCGCCCGAAAAACCCCCAAATGCTGGTGAGCGCAACGAAGATCGAAACGTCGACGTATCCCATCGCCAATCCAATCTGCCCCATATTGTTCATAACCGCCAAACCCGTCCCCACCCCGCACAAAAACGACACGAACAAAATCCAGAAATCCAACGTCCTCATCACCTCAAAAATCGTGTGGTCTTCCCCGAGAACCGGCCTCCTCTTTGCCTCCACTTCCTCCGACGCCGCAGCCGCCTCTGACATCTGATGTGTGTCGTCCGCCGCCGTCTGCCTCAGAAGCGGCTCGTCTGCACGGGTATACGGATCCAAACCCGACTCATACGCGACCCGATCCGGCTTTGAGGCCCACGCTGTGAAAAACGCGTACGCCGGAATCACGAGCGGCGACGCCAGGAGGATAAGGAGAATGATGGAGAATATTAGAGAGAAGAGGTTCGAAGGGTCTGGGATGAAGTCGTAAGCGAGTAGGTAGACGGCGACGCAGACTGCGACGGCGTTGACGATCCAGAAATATCTGGAGTCGCGGTGGTCTTCGGCGGAGGAGGAAGAAGGGGTGACCTCGCGGAGGAAGAGCATGGCGGTTAAGCAGACGGCGAAGGGGGTTATGGACAGCATGAGGAGGAAGCTAGCGGGGTCGTTGTTGAACAGTGCGGCGCAGAGGTCGGTGAAGATGGCTGTGCTGAGGCCCACGTAGCCTTTCAGAATCCCCGAAACGGGTCCCCTGTTTCGCCGGAAGTTTCGGATGCAGGTGACAAGTATCGCCGTGTTCATCCACGTCGTGCTGTTGCCGCCCATGCAGAGAAATATACACATCTGAGAAAGAAATTGAAGTAATTGTTAGTTGGGTTGCACCCTAAGTGTTCGACGAAAGTGCCGACTGAGGTGTTTTTTTATTTTTTTTTACCTGCCAGTAGGAGAGGGGTTTGATTCTTTCACTGACGACGAGCCACTGGGCGCCGTAGCCGACCAGGCCCTCGACGGAGCCTATGAGGAGGATAACCCAGGTGGGTAGTTTGTCAGAGGCGAGGCCGGCGAGGAGGCCGAAGGCTTTGCCGACGTCTTTGGCGACGGAGAGGTTGTTGAGTTCGAGCTGGGTGAGGCTCATGAGGGTTTTGAGGGCATCGGAGTAGTTGGAGAAGGTGTAATTGTTGCCGGAAATAGCTTGAACCCAGACGGCGGTGACGAATCCCAGCCATTTGGTGGCGGAGGAAACGGACGAGCGGTGGAAAGCGAACCCCATTTTTGTGTCGGTCTGAAAAAAACGTACTGGTGAGGGTTGAAGATTAGCTGCTCAAGTGCTACTGTTAAAAGCTGAAAGTAACGGTCAATTTAAAGAGAGACTTTCTGAATTAAAAAACATTAAAAATACGTTTGGTTGAATAAAGAAGAAAAGTTGTATCCGCGGTGGACACTGTCGATCTTAAAGCGGCAAGTGGGTTTGTGGTGCATTTGGTGTCGGCCTTCCCAGCCCCGCTACTGTTCTCCCAATTTCTGCTAATTGTTTTGTTAATGGACTGGTGTAAATTCTTATGACATTTTATACGGTCAGCTATAATGGTATCAATTTCGGAATCTACTAAGGTTTGTAGTTTAACTCGTTTTGTTTGTATTCTTGTTCTTTCAATGAATATCGTAATTGAATTTTAAAAATAGCATTTTAACTTTAATGTTTAATTAAAATTGATAATAACTTTATGAGAGGGTAATGTTAAAGAGACTAAATTTGTAAACAAAATTTTATAAAATAAATAACATGGAAGTTAATGATTAAATTATTACTTAAACGTTAATAAAGATGCTCATTTTTTGTTGGTGATACATCATTTAGTTTGCAATTTTTATCTACAACTTTAGTCTCTTTGGTATTACCCCTCCACGAAATATAACCAAATTAACATCCAAATGTCTACATGTCATTTGCAAGGATGCTAAGGCGACAAACTCATCGGGTGGTAAGAATATCCTCAATGAGAGGGTCTATATTGGGCTGAAAAAATTGTGATACGACCTATTTTAGAGGTCTGAGGAATCTTTGAAGCTCTTAAAAAATACTCTCTCAATGAGGAGCTATATACCATTCATGCTCTATATAGAGTTAAGATTTATTTATGTAGAAATTTGATTACACGGTAACTTTTTTTTTTAAACGATTCTTAAGACAATTTTCAAACGTGTTATCTTAACAAAAAAAATTATGAACTTTTTAACCTAAAAAAGTTCAAATTCGGGCAAAGTTAGATTTCATCACTTGTCAAAGTCAAATTGCATCACTTAACAAACGTTGAATTATGTCTTAAGCATTAAACATACAAACTACACAATTTTATTTATTATGTGTTAAATTCAAACTACAAGATTTTATTTCATAACCATTTATACACAAAGCGGAACATTTTACTTCTTAAGCAATAACACAAAATACAACATTTTTAATAAGCATAAGCATAAACTACAACATTAAGAAAGACAACAAACTACATTAGAACAAATACATCATAATCATCTCTCTACATTAGAACAAATACATTAGAACAAACTACCTTAGATTATGGGTTTTGTCCCATTTAAGTTTACTATAACCAAGTTTGGGTGAGACTTAATTCTATATGCAATCCTTATTTCAGACTCGCATTTGCTAATTGTGTTAATTAGACGAGACAACTTCATTAACTACTTTTACATTTGCTTGAAGATCTAATGCGTCAACTACTTTAGTATTTACTTACTTATAGAGAAGTATGGTAATTAGAATTATAGCACATTTGTGCTACCCTTGTGTGTGTTTTCTTACTACTTACGTCCTAAACCCTGATGAGGTTTTGATGATGCACCCACTTCGGGATGGTCATACCCTTATGTGCGTTTTCTTACTATTTACGTCTTGAAGAGACTAAGTATCAACATGTTGCATTAACTCACCTTCTCTCTTTAGGCTCTAAGTTTTGTCCCATTAAAGTTTACCATAACTGGGTTTGGGTGACCTTACTTCTCTATGCAATCCTTATCTAATACTTGTGTTTGCTACTTATGTGGATTAGACTGAGACGAATTCATCAACTGCTTCTATATTTTCCTGAAGATCTGTTGCGTCAACTACTTTAGTATTTACTTACTCATAGAGAAGTGTGGTAATTAGAATTATAGCACATGTGTGCTACCCTTGTGTGCGTTTTCTTACTACGTACGTCCTAAACCCGATGGTCATACCCTTGTGTGTGTTTTCTTACTACTTATGTCATGAAGAGGTTAAGTGTCGACATGTTGCATTAATTCACCTTTTTTCCTTAGGTTATGGGTTTTATCCAATTTAAGTTTACCATAACTAGGTTTGGGTAACTTTACGTTTATGTGTAATCCTTATATGAGACTCACGTTTGCTACTTATGTTGATTAGACAAGACAACTTCATCAACTGCTTCTACATTTGTTTGAAGATCTGATGTGCCAATTACTTTAGTATTTACACACCCAGAGGAAGTTGTAGTTAGAATTATAGAACATGTATGATTGTATAAATCCTAGTAGATTATGTATAAGAATCTTGTGAGATCTAGAAGTTTTTTTTTTATTAGTGTTTGTATTACTTGGGAACCCATTTTTCTCTCCCTTACTAGTATAAATAAAGATATAAAGATAAAAGCCAGTGGCCCTCTGCAACCCTAGCCGTCCCCTTTCTCTCACATAGAACTCCCCTAAAGTCCCCAACATCACCACGAGGCTCCTTCCTTTCTGGTTAGGTTGGCAGGCAACCCCTTCTCTTTCTCTTTTTCCTTCTCCCTTTTAGCCCACTACCTACTCCCTCAAATCCTCTTCCTTCCCTCCCACCTAATCTTGCCCCCTTCCACCTCACTTACTCCTAGCCTCTCTCTTTCCTTCCTTATTTTTTTGTCACCACTCCTCAGTTTTTTTCGGCTTATTTATCTTCCTTGTTTGTGGTAACCCTCTTAATTTTTAGTTTCCTTGAGCTTGTCTCAGATCTGAACTTTTATGCCCATTTCTTGCTTCGTTGCTCTCCCTGTCTCCAATTTTTCACCGTCGACCTTTGCTACTCGCCCATAGTGTATCTCTGATCAGCGGTGCACATTGGTGTTGAGTGGTTGTTAAAGTGCTTTTAGCACTAGTTTGTAGGATTATGGGAGCGCTTTTTGTGCGGTGACTTACTTATCTCCATTTTCCGTTCATCCATCTTGTTTGTAGGTTCTTCTTCTTCGTGGTGGCGAATCGGCGATGGCGGTGCACTTGCTCTTTTTGGGCATTTTTGTTGTAATTTCTTTTGGGCTATGCTTGTATTTGGACTGCCTTTTGACTTTCTATTTCATTTAATAGTTTGTTTAATTAATGAAAGTTTCTAGTTTGACCAAAAAAAAAATATATACAAGCATGAGGAATATCAATAGCAGAATTCCTTAAATTCTTCTCTCCTTTTCTCTGAAAGCCGATCTCTCTCTCTTTACTCTTTAAATTTAAAGAGATTATATTTACACACACCAAATTACTTCCCCACACCCTTTTAGCTTTTTAATATTTATCTATCAAGTGTTATTGGTGTATAGAATATCATAAAATATTAAAAAAATAAAAAAGTATGGAGAAAGTAATTTGGGGTGTGTGAATATAATCTCTCTAAATTTATCCACAACAAGAAAACCTTTTTGGGTATATGCTCTTTAGAGCAAGTCCACCAGGAATGGATTGCCAGGCACCCAGCACCTAAAACAGGCTTGCCCCCAGCCAAGTCACTCCAGCCCAGCCCAAGTCGTCCCATAGGACGGCCCAGAATGTGCTGAGCCAAGGCACAACCTATGTGACGTCATGCTAACGCCATTGTGACGTTACATGCCATTTAAAATCAAAGTTGGAGCCCACATATGCAAGCGCACTCACCGATGTGATGGGGAGGCCACGTGGCCCATCTGGGCCGTTGGATTTCCAACGACTAGTTTTCTAGACCGTTGGATTTCCAACGGTCAAAAAAATTTGAATTTGAAATCCAACGGCTAGATGACGTGGCGAGTTTTAGGCCTTCTAATCTGAACATCAATGGTCCACAATTTTTGTTCAAAAAACAAAATATATATATACCAAACAATCAGAATTATGACCGTTGGCCACATGTCAACATATGGGCTGTTGGATTTGAATCTTTTTCAAATCCACCGGTCTAGATTAATTTACTTAATAAAAATATTAAAAATTGTTAAAAATACATAAAAAAAATTAAAAAATTAATTATTTTTTCCTATAAATACCTAACCATCATCTTCCACCTTACACCACATTTCAATATTTTCAACACTTTCTACCAAAGCTTTCATATACTTTTTGTGTGAAAAAAAATACCTAACTAGAACCTCATCCTTTCTTTTTTTGTCCATATAAACCCTACATCCATCCTCACACCAAACTCAAACCTTCTTTTTAGCTCAGAATCCTTCTTCATCGTTGTCAAATCTTGAGTTCTTACAATATCTTCTTTAAGGAGAGTGTATAAACAATTTGAGGAGCAACCGAAAAGATTGTTGGCACAACAGGAAGAATTGGTCAATATCGAGGAAGGTGGAGATGGAGATGAGGCTTTCTCAATGGAGGAGGATGAAGATGACAATAGAAGGTAGAGGGCCTCACATTCCTGCCTGTGTCATGGAAGTTGTGGGTCAGATATCCAAACCCAGACGTGCTGCAAACTTCGATGGAAATAGGGAAAGACGAGGTAAAAATCTCTTGAAAGATTATTTTTTCCTAACTATGTATTCCCTGATCATATTTTTAGACATCGTTTTAGAATGCAACGAAGTTTGTTCGACAAAATCATGAGTGCTATTTGCAACAATGATCAATACTTTGTGCAAAAAAAGGATGATTTTCATGTTTTAGGTCTTCTTTTTGAGCGAAAAATTACTGCTGCCTTGCGGATGTTTGCAAATGGAGCATCTGTAGATCAAGTGGATGAAATAATGAAGATGGGAAAATCAACTGTTCTAGAGTCCATGATGTCGTTTTGCTCTGCAATTGAAGCCCTTTAAACCAAGGAGTACCTCCAGAAACCCACGGAAAGGGACATGCGAAGGCCGTTGAGGAAGGGTGAGATGCAAGGCTTTCCTGGCATGATTGAAAGCATCGACTGCATGCACTGGACCTAAAAAAACTATTCAAGTGTGTGCCAAGGAGCATATGGCGACAGAAAATGAGCCAAAAGTATCATTTTGGAAGCGGTGGCTTCATTTGATACACGGATTTGGCATGCATTTTTCGGTGTTCCAGGAGCTTAGAATGACTTAAATGTCCTTGCCCAATCTCCAGTTTTCCACAAAGTTCTGCAAGGAAAAGCACCTAGAGTCACATATTCAGTCAATGGCCATACATACGACGGGTCGTACTACATTGCAGACGACATTTACCTAAGGTGGACAATGTTTGTCAAAATAGTCCCACATCCACAAAGTGAAAAAGAAAAACACTTTGCAAAATGTCAAGAGGGGTGTAGAAAGATGTGGAGCGTTGTTTTGGTATCTTACAAGCTTGTTGGGCGATTGTCAGGTCAGATGCCAGAATGTTTGATGTCGAGGT